GCTCCTTTCACAGCTTGATGGTTTTGGCAGTAGCGATGATGTCAAGGTCATTGCTGCCACAAATCGCATTGATGTGCTCGATCCGGCACTGCTGCGAAGTGGACGTCTTGATCGAAAGGTAGAATTTACGCTTCCGGATGAGGAGGCACGGGCGCGAATCCTTGAAATTCATTCCCGGCGCATGGCGATTCATGGGGATGTCAACTTTGAGGAAATTGCCCGCATGACAGAAGATATGAACGGGGCACAATTAAAAGCGGTTTGCGTGGAGGCGGGTATGCTGGCACTGCGCAACGACCGTGTATATGTGGCACATGAAGATTTTGCTGAGGGTGTCACAGCTGTACAGTCTCGAAAGAAGTCCAGCCTGAATTATTATGCATGATCATACCCCCTTCTTCCTTTCCACCGATGTTTATCTCCAGAGGGCAGCAAGGAGAAGGAACAGTTGCTTGAGAAGAGAGCTACGGAGCGAAAAAGAGAGAGAGAGAGAAAACAAAAAAAAAAAAAAAAGAAAAGGGGGAAAATGAATAGTGAAGAAAAAAAAAAAGTAAAGGAGAGAGAAGAAAAAAACCCCGCAAAAAACAAAAAAACAACAAAAAACAAACAAAAACAAAAACCAAAGACAAGAAAAAAAAAAAAATGGAAAGAGGAGGAAAACATTTTTATGCCGATGTCATTAACAGCATTCTTCTTGCTTTATCTCCGTTTTTTTTTTTTTTTTTTGTGTGTGTTTCATTGCATTTATATGCGTGGGTTGAATGCGCATGAAATAAAATGGCCTTGTTTTTCTTGTGGCCCATCTTTTCTTTTCTTTTCTTTTTTGTTTTTCCCCTTGTTTTCTTTGTTGTCTTTTATTTGACAAGGAAGTCAAAGAGTCTGTGTGCTAACAGCCAGAGGGGATACAGCGCGGCGGGCTCCAAGTGGAATTATTCCTTGTGTGTGGCCGATATTTTAATCCACGCATATATATATATATATATTTTGGTTATTATTACCTTTTTGCCTGTTTTGTCGCCGCTGGTAGGAGTGGGGGGTGGGAGAACTTTTTTTGGCGTCATGGACCTGCCAGCTACTTTGGAGTCCAATGAGCCGCGGGAGCGTTCCCTCACGCTCGACGCCATTTTGGAGCGGCCGGAGCAGCAGCAGCAGCAGCGGGCGGAGGATGAGGAGGGGGAGGAAGAAGTTGGAGTAGAGGAGCACCAGGAACGCCTGAATTATGTTCGGAGGGCGGAGGCGAACCCACGGAACGCTGCAGATGCCCGTCGGCGGCTCATGCAGGATCTGCAGCGGATACAGCGCGGTACCAACTCGTTTTTTTCGGCACGCCCGATTGATGGGGACTTGTTTCACTGGCGCGCCGTTGTACTTGGGCCTGAGAGCACAGTCTGGGAGGGCGGCATATTTAAGCTGCAGCTGGACTTCACCGATGAGTATCCCTGTGCACCGCCGAAGGTTCGGTTTTTGACCAGGGATATGTTTCACCCAAATGTGTATGTTGATGGGAATATATGCCTGGACACGCTCAAAACGGAGTGGAGTCCGATACTTGACGTGGAATCTCTGTTAATGATGATCATATCTCTCTTGTCCGACCCCAATCCAAGTTCCGCCGCCAACGGTGAGGCGGCGTTACTTTACACAAATGCAAAGGACAAGTACGAAGAACGTGTGAGACACCTCGTGGAAGCTTCTCTCGAGCAGTCTTTCTCGGAGGATGAGGATGAATGAGGCGATCAATAGCGTGCGAGATGCCATGTTTTTTCCCTCTTTTTCTTTTATTATTATTATTAGTGCCTTAGTATGACGTGTTTTATGCCTTCGTTTTCAAGTTCTCTAAATTTTTTGTTGCTTTTATGAGAACACGTGGTGCTTACGACTTTGAGGTTTTTGCTCGGGTTCTGAGTGACACCCTGCCGGGGCGTTACCATTTGTCGTTGTTTGTCTGTTGGTGTTTTTTTTTTTGTTTTTTGCGAGGTAAAAGAGGGGCTTTGGGTGTGTTGGACGCTTTACATGTATGCTCGACAATGCAGGATGGGGGGAAACAACATGAATGCGAAAAAAAAAAAAGAGAGAGAGAGAGAGAAAAGAAAAGAAAAGAAAAGGGGGTGGGGTGGGGAAAAGGCGAAAGAGAAACAGACTGGACGGGGCGGGATGTGAATGAGACAAAAAGACACACACACGCAAGGCCAAACGACGCTGAAAGACGTTGCTTGACATCCCTCGCACACGTACACAGACGGACATAAATGTTTTCCCCCCTTTCCCAGTAAATGAGTGAGAAGAAAGTTATTATTCTTTTGATTCACCTTATCTATTTGCACACACACACACACACACACTTATATATCTGTATGTGTGCGTATGTGCGTGTGTTTATGTTTGTAACTGTGATATCTGCTGGAGGCGGAGTAGGAGGACGCAGTCTGCAGTCATGACTTTATAGTTCCCCGTGAATTAGTTATGCAATTTAAATTATATCGGCGATTGGTTGCGTTGTGTAGTGCTTAAAAGCGAGAGAGAGAGAGACAGTGAGAGAAGGAGAAGAAGAAAAAAATAAATGGTAATAATAAAGAAGCTCCAGAAGAGTAAAAGATTCTGATTCAAATCACACAAACACACACAAAAAAAAAGTCAAAGGCGAATGGTTTTGAGAGCGTCTTACTCGTTTTTTTTTTTTTTTTTTTTTTGCGGTGCCGCACTCTGAGAATTGAAATGGCGCATGGGAAATTGCTTTTTTTTACTTAATTTGCCCACAGCAGCTGCTTCTGCTTTCTTTTTCATTATTTCTTCTCTTACTGAGTTTGTGTTTCTTTATTTTTTTTGCTTGACGGTACGCGGAAGGTGCGTTGCTCACTCGCAGTGGTACATGAACAACGAACATGTTCTAGTCGGCGGTAGCCGGTTGCGCCTGGTGCCTTACTTGGCGCACCATGTCCCTCGGTACCATCAATGGATGGGCGATAGCGAGCTGATGCACTGCACAGCAAGTGAAAGACTTACATTGGAGGAAGAGTATGAAAATCAGCGTGATTGGCTATGTGCAGAAGACAAGTTGACATTTGTTATTCTTGCCCCACTTTCTATAGCTGTGAATAAAGCAGTGCGAGAACAAAGGGGGAATACTGCTTTTGGGAAAAATCCAGTAGTGAGGGACGTTCATGATGATGATGAGGGGGGAGGGGAAACCGAGGAAGTGAGTGAGGTTGAAGGAGGTGATTACGCAACTGCTGATGATTCTCAGGGTGGTGTTAAACGTGAGGCGCCATGGGGATGCACATCTTCAAGGACCGCCCACCCGAGGAGGTCGTATGGGGCTTGTATTCTGGCGAATATTTGTCCCGAGGAGGAACAGGAGGAGGAGCGTCGCATTGGTAGGACGTACGTTATGGTTGGAGACTGCAATCTCTATTGTATTGGCATTAACGAGGCCGTGGAGTTGATGGGGGATGACGATGCGCATCCGAATGCGCACGGGAAATGCTTTGAGTTGGGGGTGATGATTGCAGATCGTGCCTTTCGACGCCAAGGTGTTGCCGAAGAGGCCGTGCGTCTTCTGATGAGTTACGCGATGGACAAACTGGGCGCCTCTTGTTTTATTGCTAAAATTTTAAGCACCAATACCTCAAGCATTCGCCTATTCACGATGAGGCTTGGCTTCACATTCCTGAAGGAGGTTTGTATTTTTGATGAGCTGCATTTCATTAAGCGTTTTGCCGATGCGGCGGAAAGGGAGGCTTGGATGGCCGACGTTGCTTACACCGTTGGCTTGTACGATGCAAACACGGAGAAGGAGATGACGGTATTACATTCCATGCCGGATGCTACGGAGTGGAACAGGGAAGGGGTGTACGGAAGAATGGGGCCCGTCACGCAGTCACTTGTTTTTGGAGTTGTGCGGAAGAATGAAACGGAAATATGAGGGGCATTCCAAAAAAAAAAAAAAAAAAAGACGGACAACACACGACTGGGCACGCCGTCTTCAGTCTGGGTGGTTGGGTGGAAGTGGTCGCGGTGCTCCCACGGCCGTGTGGTCATGCTTGGTTGTGTCGCGACACCGATCCGTGGAATGCGAGTTTCCCTATTCTCCACACTGGCCCAAGAACAACACTTCAGCGGAGAGAAAAGTGTACACGGCCGTTTTTTTTTTTTTTTCCCTCCGCACTACTCATTTCTTGTTTTTTGTGTTGTTTACTCCGCTTCAGGCGGCTGCTGAGTCTTTGAAGTTTCTCTTCTCCCGCCCACACACTTAGACAGGAATCTTTAGTTTCATCACAGCCCATTGCATGGTTGTCATGGAACAAAACGGCGCGGTTGGCCCGAGTTTGCCCGGAAGCGGTCGTATCCCACGGCGAACTCTTCAGAGGATGACGA